CAACATCTTGCAGCAAAACCGCACATTCAAGTGCTGATTCAAGATATGCTATCCCCAAGACATCTTTAACTATTTTTTTAGAATCAAGAAAATGTAATTGAATTATTAACTTTGTTTGAAAGTGTAATAAACTTTCAAATTTATCTCTATTTATATAAAAAATTTTTCAAAATTTTCATTACATTCTCTCATAGCTAACAAGTTTAAATAAAGATAATATTGCAAAAATATAATTAACATCACATCAAGTGTTTTACATTAAAGATCTAATAATCCTTCTAGAAGATGGCCTATAATAAAAACAGGATGCAATACTCATAATCTTGTTTTTTTTTTTTTACTTTCGGTCTGAAACAATCTTGCTCATTTAGCGCAGGAATGATAGATTAAATGGACCTATCTAGTGAGCTCAAATCATTTTGACAGCTTTAATTTCCATTGAACCGTTGAAAGGCGAAACATGCATGTTACCCCAGACTTCAATAGGTAATTTCACCGTTGTTTGATTCAAGAGTGACGGCTTAATTCTACAGGCGGCACATAACCTCTCGCAGATGCAGAGCAACACACACAAACGGTTCATGAAGACAGGGCCCTAAGGTTGCATCACATGTGAAATTCTTTTGGCTAAACCCACACTAAGTATTCATTTCTGGTGACTGCATGTGCAGTGAAACAGGATAAGAACCCAACAGCTTTAAAGGTAGATATAGAAGCACGCCTAGAAGATAATTATTCCAATGACCAAGTTTACGTTACTCGTTACTCCTGTATGTCCAAACAAATGATTAATTGAATCCCTAGCAAGCTACCTCGGGCTGTCAAAATTCAACTCCGTTCCACAATTAGGAGGGATTCTTGAGATCTCAACAGATCAAGTAACGGGGGATATGAGTTGCCCATTAAAGAGTGATACTGTTGTGCGAGCTAATCTGGCATTCCGTTCAGCTTACTTGTTGCTGGTGGCCTCCATATATGGGGTAAGACCAATACGCAGCAGCATATATTCTTGGGTCAGGAGGTGTTGGCGAAGCATATCCATAACCATCATAAACAGGACCTCCATAATGCACCCGGCTCCAGTGGTTGCCAAAGTCCGCTCTAAACAGCTAGGAAACAATGCAAATATGCAATTTAATACATGAACTGTAGACTGTAACAAAATGCTAATGACACATCATATTCTACCATAGCAGTTATTAGTATTCAAGGAATGCTGTTACATTTTTCACCTCACCAGTTTGGCTATATCTCAAAACTTACGTATTAATTCTACAATTAGGTCATAATTCATTAGGATAAACGACCCAGTAAAATATACTTGTTAGATATATTTTAAAAAAAAAAAAAAACTCGTGGTTTAACATATTCAGAGAATGGTCCTTTAGAAAAGTCAAACTTGGGTGCTGCAAGCAGCTGAGGACAAGTTGAACTCTCAGACTTTATGTGATATGCAATAATGTGGTATTCCCAGGTGGACTAATTATTGAATGAAACAAACTCCTTTAGATTGACAGGGGCGATAAAATGGCCGTGAGAATGTGTGAAGGCATAATTAAAGAGGGAGAAAGAGAGAGAAAGGACATAACTGCTTATTTGCTGGATTGCGGCCCCATGAAAGACGAACTGTCTGCTTGCCAATCAGTGTCCCATTTAGCTTCTGCAATGCCTCCAGCATTATTCCTGCAGAAATGTTCAGAATAGCGTTGAATTGCAATCACACCATCAAAGAAATTTATTTAGGAACATGTTACCCATGAACCTCCAGATAACAGCAAGGCTACCTGTTTGCAAATTGTACAAATCCACATCCCCTTCCAACAGGTATCTTGACAGAAACGATCTCACCATACTGGGAGAATGGCTGCCTAAGATCATCATCCTTCAACAAATATCTACAATACATAATGGGTTAGCTATAGAAGATTAGTGACTATTGGCTCAATCCAAATGTAATAAAACAGCCAAAGAGCTCACAGCTGTGTTTGTTGAGTCTGCTTCAGATTGGTTGGATGTTCCATTTGACACATGGCCTCCTACACCAAGATACATTTTTAATCAGATAATTTTTCATCAGTGAAAGCTTGAGTAGTTCTCACATTATTAGAAGCATTTTACTTATCAGACAGACTTTGATCTACTCGTATATTCTTGCTCTATAAAAACTTGGTAATATCCTCTGTAAATTCAAAACATAGGTTAAGCCATAAGACTGATACTTACATAAGTGGCGAAAATGCAACTCTTAAAGTTCAAAAATCACAATATGAACCAGAAACAAAACAATTGAGGTTAAAACAGGCGTATTTTGAAGCATATTCTTTAGTGCCATTATTTTTGTTAATAACTCAAAATTCAGATTTCAGCAGAAAGGAGAGTGATTTAGACATTTAGTACCTTGTTGGTAGCCAGATAATTTCCTAGGGGTTGCAGCACCAATACGTACCCATTCATTTCAGTCATAGCCTGAGACCTCCCATTATCATCTCCAAACCTGACAAATCCACAACCCTTTGAACGACCAGTATTCGCATCAAAAACAACTTTTGCAACTTTAACAGAAGGATATCTAATAGCGAAAGTTTCATGCAACATGCTATCTATAACACCTGCAGCTAAATCTCCTGCAAAAATAGAAACATCAGGAACATTATCTGAATGCTTGTCTCCTGCTCTAAATGTTGCCCAGTTCAGGTGAAAAGGTTGATCTGTATTGGACATCAAAATGGAACCATAATTTCGTAAAACATTTTCTGCTGTGGCATGGGAATAGAATTCCACAAATTCATAACCCTGTGATAGGCTAGTCTGCTTGTTGCAAATCACCTTGATGAAGGAAATCTGCAAAAACGTATGATAGTCAGAATCAGTAGACGGTCAATTTTTCATCGGCATGGTTCTGTTAAAGTAATATAAAGAGCACATGAACCTTTGTTCTGTCATAACAAACGAAGCTTTTAAAGTCATGCTATTTTCTCAGTAAAGAGGATGGCAAAGAAATAGCACCGGTGTGATAGCAATCCACTGTCAGTGTACAGTAGGAAGAAGCCTAGAATTGAAACACCATCAATAGAAAAGGAAGTTATTTATTTAGGATAACTAATTATGTTGTGTTGTCAGTATTTTAGACTTGCAATTTATTTTAAGTGTTGTGCGGTCATTTTAGGGTTGTGTTGTCACTTGTCAGTCCATTAGGTCAGGTAGTAGTTATAGCAACTGCTATGCGTTTTACAATATAAACATGTAATTCCAGTATTATGAATGACAAGTGAATATGCAGATAATGTTCAGGAGATTCTCCACCTGTTAGTTAGCTTATGAAAGTGAGATTCTTGCTGTATAAACTAACTAATATTCTTTCTTTACTCTGTTTTCTCATTCCGGTTCCAACAAAGTGTCACCTTGAAAAGTCAAATTAGCTACCTGCAAATGTTATACCTGTCCCTTCATCACAAGTCACTAGGGCATTCCCCTCAACTTTTGTCATTAGTCCTCACCCTGAACATCAAGTTTTGACCTTTTAATTAATACTACAATAAAAACATCCTCAGCACTTCAAGAACATTCATCCACTTCCCTCGTTAACATTAAATATGCTCCTTAAGAACCTATTGCAAACTTTAAAAATACAGAGACCAATTTGAAACTAAGGAGAAACTGGTACTAACAAAGTATATAAATCTTTCCATAACACAGACTACAAACAGTCTCATGCTTAAATATTTTGATTTCTTGGTGAAAAAGTTCATGCTTGGAGTCCAAAATATTCAAAAGCTAGCCATCCCATGCAATGGAAATGATCAAAAAATCAAAGGGGTTTTGATGCAATTATCCTTAAACAGTTAAACTAATACACTTACTCTGACATTTGCTCTATACATAATCACCAAAGGACCACCGAAACAGCACATTGCACACTGCCAAAGGATTTGAAATGCTTTCCTTCTGCCAAAGCCTCTCAGCTTGAAAATGGTCCAAGGAAAATCCACAGCTCATCCTACAAGGTCAAAAGGCCTATCCCAAAGATGCAAAGCAACCACAATTTTGAAACAGAAACAGCATTTTGATGAAAACTATTTTTCTGGATCACCTTAGAGCATCTACACATATGCCATTCAGGTTGCAATTGTACACAAGACAGAGGGAAAGGCATTGTCATATTTCTTATGATCAAATTTCCCAGGATTATGTGAACAAGTAGTATAATACACCATAAAGAAGCTTTTTCTTTACTTTCAACAATCCAAATCCATGTCTATGCTTCTTAGAGTGGATGTTATAATGAAGACTGAAACCAGGGTGCGGTAAAACAAATAGAACCAAATGTAATGAGCCAAGAATTAATCCTGGTTTTTGCATGCATAAGTTTTGAACTCTAACTCGAAATATCAGCTTTCATAATCTCCAAAGACAAAACAGGACACTATAATAACATAAAAAGTTAAAGAGTAGGAATTAAATTAAAAAAGTAAGAACAATGATAGAGACCAAACTGCTGTAAGAACAACATATAGAAACACTCACCACCTATTTCGAGCTTCATCAAGCATAAGGAACTCAATGACTTGTGCCGCATGATCATCTATTTCTATTTCAAGGATGGATCCAGAGCCCCTCTAATAAAATAATTCTATTAGAGGTTGCTTTATGGTCATTTGAAACAAAGCTAGAGGTGCGAGATTTAGGTCATGGAGACAATGAGGAGCTCCTACTTCTAAGTCTCCTACAATGTCTGGAAGCAGGAGACCGTGTTCTCCGATGCTTAGATCTCATTCTGAATTAGATCTCAATTAAATTCATATTTACCAAAAAACACATATAGCCGCTCAAAAAAATAAATTGACATGACTATAACAGGTACATCTAATTAAATGTTAAGATATTAAAATCTCACCTGACATCCCAAAAATACGTATCAATTAACTGCTTCCACCACCAAAGCTGCATGTACATCTAGTTGCTAGTGTACGAATGATCATATTGTCAAAATTTATTCAAGCTTAGGTTACAAAGAGGTGTATAATTAAATTCCACCGAGACCAGTTGAACCAAGAACATTGGTAGGTTACATTTTCTTCCTTCACTATATCCCACATTAGCTGCGGTATAAATTGTCTTCACTATTGAGGAAAAACAAAATATATATTATGACACTGGACACATGAATTCTGCTCAAATCCTGATACTGTGCAAGAGGAAATGTTAACTGTGAGACAAAGTCAGTGCATTTGGCTAAAGTAAACAACCATCATTCTTCTATTTGATCATGTGAAAAACACGTGGCTTAATGCCCTCCATCAATCCCTATAGCACCCTTCTACTTGTTTAGTTTTGAGTCATCCAAGATATTGCTTGTTGGGTTTGTTCTTGTTTCAATAGCACAATCCATGTCCTCCCATTCATTCTTAACCAGATAACACCATTTGATGTGGTCAACCAAAGAGTACTTACACAGTATCTAGTAATAAACTTGAAGCAATAGCATTACCAAAGCATATTTCATGACATGAGTACTTCGCTCCTCAGTCAGAGATTATATGTATAAATCACACCATTACTTTACCACAAGGACTTGTCCATTTTGCAGATTATACAAGACCAGACAGGATGCTATACAAAGTAAAACGTAAGCAAGCACCAACGAAATCAGTGCTTGTGGTGTACTACTATACTTAAAGAAAATGATTGGAAAATTGGCATGATATAAACTCACTTTCTTAAAGCATTTTCACGACCCAAAGCTTATGTTTCCTTATATACAGATATACAAGACAAGGTCCTATTAGATTTGCATCAGAGAGGGACTTACAAAGCTTGAGGTAAGTATCTACATTTCCAAATTGTTGGATTCTCTTCCTCAATCCTTGAAGCACAGCAGCCCTGTCCAAATACTCTGGATAGAACCCTAACTCGAGCATTTTCATGAGTGTCTCTGCCGCCTCATTAAAATGCCCTCCTTTGATATAGCCTCTCAACAGCCATGACAAGCTCCTCTTCTTCTGTAGCGAGCTTGAAACCTCTAATCGGGTCAGCAGCCTTGCTGTGGCTCTGGCTTCCTTCTGTGAAGCACAAATGGCAAGAACAATGTCATAGAGGCCCCTGTCAGGCTCCTTACCCACAAGCTTCATTTCCCACAGCTGCCTCTCAGCCTCTATTCCTCGGCCAGCACATATGTACATAGCAAGGAGCCTCTCATGAACCACACCATAAAGAGATTGGCTACCGTCTTGCATAACCCAATTGGACAAGCACGCCCCTTCAGCTAGAAGATCTGATTGATACTTCTCTACGAGCTCTACATCTTCAAGATCTAGCTGAGCTACCAACCCAGCCCTCGCAAAACCTTTCAGCTTGCGAAGAGCTTTAGCAAATTTATTCAGCTCCTTAACCACAGCAGTCATTGCAATAAGATAACTGTAGGCCTCTGGCTTCAGCCCAGATTCTCTAAAATTAATCACTAATCTGATTGCGCCTCTATAGTCACCCTCAACCTAAAAAAGAGTGAACTTGTCATTGACTGTTCTAACAAAGGGTAAGGAACAGGTATTGCTAAGGAGTGACTAAGAAATGACATTTAGAATGAAATCGGACCCCAATTAGTGTTCCACAGCAAAATGATCCATGTACAACAAAAAAATAAGAAAGGATATTCCCAAAAACACATGTTCCTACCCCTTACTAACGAAGAACAAGCATAAAGTGCACACTTAACTTGATCAATGCTGATAATACCCATGTTAATAGCCACGCACAACTCTTACCACAAAAGTACGAATTTGAGAAATACAATGATAGGGTAAATACTAGGAATGAATATTGACTTCTACAGTTCCAAGAAGAAATTTCTTTAAGAGTTTTCTCTCCTTCCTATTTTCTTCCCACTTTTCTCTCCATCCAAACCAAGCCTAAAAGAGGGAAAAGAACAGCCAAGGGTAATAATGATCAAGATGACCAGCACTAATTCTACAAGTGTATAAGTTAGACTCAAAGCAAAGTAATCTCAAATATCTTGAAGTCTTAAGTGTGCAATTCAAATAAAGAGAATTTCACAGTTATCAGGTTCGCAAACGTCAGATTCAAATAACCGCTAATTAAATTTATTTATCTATGTGGGAATCCAAGCTAGCAAACATGGTTAGCAAATGTTTACCATCATCTTCCAAGCAAGATACCCTGTTGGCCCTCCTTTATGCCCTTCCAGGTCATCCTCGGCATAAGAAATTCTTCGCCTCAGAACCTCTTCCACAAACATAACCGCTCTTTCCTTCTCACCCATTTCCCAATACAAAGAAATCACCTTCTCTATCATGCTGAAACCAGGCCTCAAACCAACACAATCCATATCCACAAGGAGGTCAACGACGTCAGCAACACTATGCTGTTCTTGAATCAACTTCTTCACCCATCCACACATGATCGCCACCATAAGCTCCATTGTTTCCTTATCCACTCGGTTTTCCTTTCGCAGCCAATCAAACACCTCCAGTGCACACCACGAATCTCTTCCATCTTGAGAGAAGTAGACCAGCACGAGTTGCAACTCTCTCGCAGAAAGACGGTCGTTCATTTCCTCCAGAATGTCAGATGGCTCTCTCGCCATTCGCTCAAGCTCCTCAATTGCTTCGAAGAAGCCCTCACCCATTTCGCCTTCATCATCGCTAGTCAAGAAATGGTCCAACTCCACCGATTTAGATAGCCTAAATCCTCGACTAGAACTGGATTTTGAAACCAAGAACACAGGATTTTGGTATTTGTTGCAGACATTGATTGAAACCCCATGATAAAATTTGGTGGAAAGTGTACGGCAAGACGCAGCAGAACAAAAACGATGGCGCTGCAGTGAAGTCGAGGAAGAAAACATCAAACCCGAGTCGGCGAATGGAGAAAAGCCATGTGCAGAGGCCATTTAATCACACACGTTTCTCTTCCCTTGGACAAGTCCGGTTCGGGAGCAAATAGAACTGCCCGTCTATCAACTTTCTGTAAATTCAACTCATCCAACACAAAATTCGTCAAACTGTGTCTCAAAATAGACAGTGGCGAAACAAAACCACCCAATTTTGGAACAACTCGTCAGCATCCAAGAAGATGCTGTTTCAGTGTCAGGGGTTGAGAAAATTAGAGAGGTTTAAACTATCACATGAAATAAAAAAAAGAGCAATTGGGGTGCAGAGAAAGAAAAGAACAATGGAAGACGGGTTGAAGCTAACGACAGAATGAAGCATTAAGCGTGAGGATACGTGTACCAACCAAGACTATACAGTCCACACCATCAGCTTGAATAGCGAGTACGAGAAACGTTACGGAAGGGATAAAATAAAAAGGACATTATAAATGGCGCAAGAAAAGTACGCATTAACAACCAAGAAGTTCCTGATCAAAAATAAAAAAAAAAAAAAAAGGGCAAAGACGCTTAGGGCTAAATGGAAAACAAAGCCCGATAAAGACGAAATCCATTGGCGGTGGTGGTGGTGGGGCTACTATCCCAGTCCGGCCAGCCCAATAAGCAATCAGCGTTCACGGCCCAGTGATTGACATGTCGGTGGGACTGTCATGGAAAATGTAATTATTGTTATGTGTTTTTTTTTTTTGGGTAAATGTTATGTGGTTTTTAATTGTTTTAATTCATTTTATTAAATATATTTCTCTATCAGAATTGCATTGTCAAGTTAAAATACTTAAAAGAGCAAGTTTCACAACCTTGTCTGCATGAAAAAGGCAACTTACTTCACAATGCAATCGGACATATTTTTTTCTTGCGTCGCATATATCATTGGAAGTAAACAGAGCTTCAACGATTAGCGCCTTAGAAAATTTTTTGGTTTCTTTCCAATTAAATATCATTGTTATATAATATTTTCTAAGATATTTCAAAAAAAAAAAATAAATCAAAAGGCACATTGTCAAAACAACAAACATTGACCTAATTAATAAAAATTTGGTCCATAATTCACAAAATTGTGATTTCAAATCTCATCATCGATAGGAAGATATCTGTCTATAATATATTAGGTTCAAACCCCAAATGTTCAATTTTCATAAACACATCAAATGAGTCATCACGCATGGAATAAGATGCGAGCAAGAAAAATTATTTGATAAAAAGGGTATTCAAATGGAAGGAGATTAAAATCAAACAAAAGAAAACAAATGAAAAGCTAACGAGATTATTTTCCAGGGGAACATGGTACGGTAAATCGTCCTCGGATATCGCAAGAACATTGGCAGGTTACATTTTCTTCCTTTACTATATCCCACACTGGCTAGGGTATAAATTGTCTTCGAAGAAAAACAAAATGGGATACATGAATTCTGCTCGAACCGTGATACTGTGCAAGAGGAAATGTGAACAACAAAGTCGGTACATTTGACAAAAGTAAACAACAATCATTCTTTCGCAGTGGCCCTTCAGGGCATGAAATTAAACTGGTTCTCAAATATATCAGTTTCCAGCTGCAGCCTATGTTCAATCATTCTTTTTCATAATTTCATAGTACCAAAGAAATTACATTAAAAAAATATGTATAACTAAAATTCAATAAATGAAAAAAAAATCAGTATTATTTTCAGGATTTAACAATACTTCAAGCCCATCAATTTGAAGATATTTAGACACTATGGGAGTCATGGTTTGAGTGTTTGACTTTCAAGATTTGTTGCTACAGCTATCAATGACAACGCATTAGCGCATTCCTGGGAGAAGCCATTTTCTCGTACATCTAACCAAACTACACATTTCCAACATATGACCTTACTTCTAGGCCACTCAAATTTTTCGCTTTATTTATGAACACTTAACATATTAATACACAAGTGCCAAAGTTTTCGGACCTTACAAGCCACATGCATATCAGGGGGTTGTGATGAGCTTTTGCAAAGAGATTCAACTGAATATAATTGAGACTTGACTCCACAACAGAAAAGCATCACAGGGTTAGGATTTTCGACACAAAAGGTTCATAATTTATCCATTTCACTACCATGTGAAGTGAATATATATCCAATAATAATAGTAATAAACAACTTAAATTCAATAAAACAAATTGAAAGAATCAACAAACTAAACTGTTTTTATAGAAATAACTCAATCTGCAACATCCATTTCCTTGCCTCCTCTTGTAGCAGAGCTATTCTCTTCAACTACGCCAGCCAATGGCTCCTGAATCTCTTCTGGTTCTCCCTCTTTCACTCCTCTTAAAGCTTGGCTACTTGAGAATGAAACTTCTCTGCTTCTAGTGTTCAGCCAAGCTTCATGAAGTTGCAGAACATACTCCAAGTGCCACAACACCTCCCCCATTGTGGGCCTGTTCTTCCCCTCATCAGCAAGACATTTTTCTGCTATCTCTCCATACTTAGACAGGGACTCAAGATGATAGCCTTCTGCAAGGCGTGGATCGATGATAGTTTCAAGCGACCTTTGCCTCTGCCATCTCATTGCCCATTCTGCAAGATTGATTTGATCTTTAGGCAATGCAGGATTTATCACAGCTCGAGCACAAACAACTTCAAACAACACAACACCAAAAGAGTACACATCTGATTTCTCAGTTAGCCGCTGTCGTCTGAAGTACTCAGGGTCGAGGTAACCAAAACTTCCTTTCACAGCTGTGCTAACATGAGTATGGTCCAATGTAGGACCATCTTTTGACAAGCCAAAATCAGACATTTTGGCTACAAAGTTCTCATCTAACAATATATTGGTTGTCTTGACATCCCGGTGGATTATCCCCCGCTCTGCACCTGTATGCAGATAATGGAGTCCTCTTGCAGCTCCTATGCATACTTCTAGGCGCTGCTTCCAAGTTAGTGGTGGAAGATCGCTCCCAAATAGATGACTTCTGAGAGTACCATTTGCCATATACTCATAAACCAAAATCATTTCATTTTGCTCTTCACAGAATCCAATCAGGGACACAAGATGCCTATGCCTGAGTTTCGAGAGCATCTCAATCTCTGTCTCAAATTCAGCCACACCTTGCTCAGACTGAGGGTTGGCTCGCTTAATTGCAGCAGGGACCCCATCATCAATCTCTCCCTTGTACACCTTACCAAAGCCTCCAACTCCAATTATCAAACCCTCATCAAAATTTTTTGTCGCAGCACGAATTTCTGCTAGTGTGAACCGCTTGCCAAGTCGAGTTGATGCCACTGATCCATATGGATTCTGAAGTCCTGCTGATCCCTTGGCACTAACAGTGCTGTTCACAGTAGCGCCATAAAGAAACAATGGCCGCCAACCTGGAGCACTGCTTTTGGTATCACTTGTTGTTTTCCTGCTTCTTTTGCAAAACCAGAAAAACAAAGCAACTAATAATGTAATTATGGCAACAGAAGCTAGAACTGCTCCAATTCCCATCCAAAGAATTCGAGTTTTTGATTTGCTAGCTAAATTGCCTGCTGAACCATATCTCTCTACATAGGCCAGCTTCCCATTTCGGCTAATCTTGAAAATTTCTAGCCCATTTAAAAGGGCATCAGTTCCGGCAGCACCAGCAGCTGAATCAGGACCTAACTGAACCCACAGTGTGTTGATTCTTGAGGACACACCATCTACATAATCCTGGTGATATGCTTTATTCATCCCTCCTGCTCGTACAAATATATCGATGTTATCTGCTGCTGTCTTGTTGTTTATATAGATCCTAAAAATCCTCTCATTTGCCTTATCAAATATCAGCTCACAGAAATGTAATCGGATCATATACTCAAATTCCGGGTCCACTTGAAACTTCCAAGACATGTTAAACCTTTTCTCCAAGACTTCAGTGTTGGACATTGTCCTTGCAGTCTCATACACAATGAGAGGAGCCACTGAAGAATCATTCAGTGAAGCATATGTTATATTAGAACTGTTCTTTATTCCTGACCCAGCACTTTCTATGATCATGTAGCTAGAATCCACTTCCCAAGTTCTCCAAATATCTTTATCCTCATTGGATGTGATTTTGGGACCACCAACATTCAACCTGTACATGGTCTCCATCCCACGTCCAGTCAAATTCAAATTTGCATCACTCCCACCGACTTTATTGAAAGAGCCTGCAAAAAGCTCATCTGGAACTGGGACAATCTCAATGGCATTGATGAAGCCAAAGGAGCTTTTCGTTGGGATGAGTTCAATCACAAGCTTACCTGAATTGACAGCAAGAATATATTCTTTAATCAAGAAAAATGAAGTTGAATTGCTTCCAGAATTCTGCAAGTCCATGTTCTTGTGCGATATCTCTCCTGGAGCATTGAACTCCGCCAGTAGTTTCAGACCATTGGCCACAACATCAAATGAGGACTCATTTACATTGTAGTTCTCAAGCACAAAGGGACAGAAATGGAGCCTGACAACATAGTTCCCCTGAACACCTTCAATTGTGTAATTGCAAGCACCAGTGAAAAATCTGGCGGTTTTGTAGAGAGGGTCAAAGGAAGAATTGCCACTTAATGTGGAGGCTGAAGCAGCAATACCAGGAGAACTAAGGGTGATATTGTTATTAGGGGCCATATCCCCAATCCATCTTCTGTCATCAACATTTACGGAAGAATTTGAACCGCAATTAATGAAAATCGACTTTGATTGAGCTTCCCCAGTGGCTAGGATCACTGAGATTATCACTAGATTCAGTACACGGAACAGTCCCTTAACTAAAATCCTCTCCATTATGGCCATTCCTCGAGGATAACTTCGAGACAGTAGCAAATCTCAATGAGGAAGCAAAAACCAGTACAGTACCAGAGAAAACGAAATCAGCAGAGACCCAGAAAGCCTACCCTCTCAATTCACAGTGACAGCTCCTTGTATCCAAGATTTTGAAAAAGCAAATCAAGTCCATAGAAACAGGGAAATTCATCTATGGCATATGGATTTACCCTTGGGACGCCGCGTGAGCTCAAACAGTAAATACAAGCGAAAGCCCACCGCAAGCTCTTGCTTATCTGAATCAGTCTCCAGCAAACACAGATTTCCCAGATCTGAGTGAAGGTGAAGTCTAGGGACAAAAGGAGATGGAGAAGCAGCAGCAATGCAGCATGTATATATCACAGTAAAGATAACAACTTTACTCGCCGGTGATTTTGGGAAATCGGAGAAGATACCAAAACATAAGGGATGCTTCAGGAAATGAGGCTCTTCGTAAATAAACTACAAGAAATACAGAACATGGGGTTGTCGTTGTTATTTTCTTGTGAATAGATAGAAAAGAGCTCATTTCATTTTTCTCTCCCCGTTTTTTGGGGTAGTTGGTACCTTCTCCAGGAAGTCTGAAGTCTGACTCTATACAGTTGTGCTGTAACAGTCACCGTAGAAATGGAATAGCACCAGATCATTTTTGCAATAAGCAGATTTTTGGGTTTTTAATGAGAGGCAGACTTTTCGCCCGGTGCCAATAAAACTAGTAATTTAAACCAAACTTAACAGACCACTCGAATAAATTTATAAGAATTTAAGGTTCAACTAAGGAAAATTGCTTTTTGTTCTATTGAGTCGTACTTTTATGTTCTTGTTTTTTTTTTCCAAGCAAGTTATGCTTATGTGTTGTTACTTGTTACATTTAATAAAGAAATGGCAAAAAAAGACCAGTACAATTTAAATGTCTTAAATTAAAATTAAAATAATAACTAAAAGCTAAGGATTAATAGAGAATCGTTAGATATGGAGATATAGATTTAATGTGAGCCCCATTACCTATTGCCTTTATATTGTTCAGCTTTAAGGTAAGATTCATTGTAATTGTAATTAATAAGTATCCTCTAAAAACACCATTAGTTAAATTTCATGAAAGGACTATTTGCTAACAATTGACGGTCTATCAATTGTATATGATATTTATTAAGAATTTGTAATTCTTTTTTATTAGTTACTAACAATTGATGGTCTATTAACTGCCTCTGTATTCTTTCTTAACAAGACAAAATTAGTAATTAAATTGATTTTTTTTAGATGTTGTTATTTTCTATTACTTCTTACAATTTTCTTAAATCAAACTCATGCAATGCACGAGATTGAATTTAGATTCAAACACCATATGTTAAACATGTACTAATTAAATATAGTTATTAAGTTAACACATGTGCAATGTTAAAAGATACTTCTATGATCCTGTTTACAAGTTTTTTCTAACTGTTAAATCGAAATTAAAAAATTTTAAAAATTCATTAGTTTTATCTTAAAATTAAATAAATTATTAAATTTATCTTTGTTAAATATATATATATATATATATAATTTAACAACATATTTTTTCTCTAATATTCATTCAGGTTAAAAGAAAAAATTTGTATTAAAATTTAATAAAATAATTTATAAATAGGATAAAAAAATTTGTTTGCTCTGCTATATAAATAAAACCAGAAGGATTATTTCATTCAGTTGTCTCATATATAGTCCGTGCAGCACAAGCCAGTCTATTGCTTTTAAAAAGTTGAGTTTAAGCCCAGGTTGGTCTACATGATATAATAGTCTGGGCATTTGCCCCGTATTTTACCCAAAAAAAAAAAAAAGTTGAGTTGACCCATTCGTTTTATTTCATGATGCATAAAAATTTATCAGGATATAGATGCAAAATGAGATATACAGTAATTCTAAAATTTTGTTACTAATTATATATAAATGATAAAAATAAATAAATATTTTTTAAAGACGTTTATAAATGAATTTTGAATTAAAGGAAAAAAATGCTCCGAAATTTTTAAAAGAAATGCCTATCCTAAAATTTTTGGGAGTATAAAATTGCCTCACCAACTTTGACAGTTAAATTTGCGTCTTTGTTTGCCTCTGTTCGATATATTGAGCATTTTCGCTGGTAAAAATAAAAAAAGACTGACAGTTAAAATTTTACTTTTAACCAATGTTTTTACACGTGTTCATTACTAACTCTAACTGCCCTCTATCTCCCACACTCCCTCCTCCCCCCGGCCTTTGTCATGAACGAGATCAAAACCAAGGCCGAGGATGACCTAATCGTTCTCAATGAAATCGTAACCCTCAAGACCTGAAAGTGAAACAAGACAAATTATATTAATTTTCGAGAAAAGACACTGTGTTTTCTGGTTCAACAAAGTAGCAAAACAGAGATATATGATGTTTGTCATCAACGGTTACGAGGCCCCCTGCAAGTTGTCGAAAGCTCAGGCAAGCTTTGGATCTTGTGGTGGCTCAATTCACACTCTACCATGTAGCATGTTCAGACAAAAATGGCACCCCTTGTTGTCAAGTTCCGTGTCCGAGACAGCATCGTTCTGGGGTTCTTTTGCTTGTTGCCGATAACCAAGAGGAAGCACCTGTACAGTGAAGAGAAGAGTAAGGAGGAAAACAGGGAAAAGAAACAAGAGAAGAGAAGAGAATACAAGAGAGGACATAGTGATCTTCCAAGCACCATCAGCGGCAATGCAGAAGCGGCGGCAACTGCGATTACCGCCAGTGAGTCGCCGGCTTGAAGACTGGAAACTGCTGGCACGACGGGGCATGGATAGCCAGGAGGAGGAAGAAGTGAGCTATTGATTAAGAGGAGGACACGTTTCAATTTTTGGTCAAGCTCCAATTTTAACGGTCAAATGCTTTTTTAGATTCAACGCTGTATCTTTTAAAAAAGGAAAAATCAAAATAAAGTCCCTTTCCCATAAAATTTTCAGGAAATTTTCTATTATTAAAAAATTAATATAAATAATTAAATTATTTAAAATTTAAATATTAATTATCATTTATAATTTTTATTTTAAGATTCACAACTTTTTTTAAATCACAATAATTAACAGCAACTAAAAAGTTCGCATTTAAAATCCTAATATTTTTCAACAGTTGCAAATATTAATTGTTATTTATAAATTTTATTTTAAGATTCATAATTTTTTTTTTAAAATTACAAGAATTCAACAGCAATTCACAAGTTTAAATTAAGAATAATTTAATTATTTATATTAATTTATTAATGACAGAAAAATTTTTAAATATTTTAAAAAAATTATAATATTTTGAGGAATCAAAATATTATTTACTAATTTAAAAAATTTTTATTATCATTTTTTCTTTTAAAAATTCTAAAATAATATTACTTCTAATAAAAAATTAGGATAGGTATGTTTGAAATTGCTTTTGTTTTATTGTTTTGAAAATTAATATTTTGTAAAACATGTTTTAAAAAAAATAATAAAAATGTGTTTTTTTTTGTTTTTTTCTTATTCTTTAGAATAATAATCTCACACTTAAAAAATATTTACATTTTTTTATTTTTTAAAATAATATGTTATTTTTTTTCAAAAATATTTTTTAAAAAACATTACTAAATATATATTTTTATTTTTTTATTTTGAAAAAAAAATGTTTTCAAAATAGATTCAAACAGAAGTGATATTTTTCACAAAATTTATGAGCATTTTTATCCTGACTCATATTTTTAAAGATATTTTCATATAAAATGAACGATTAAATATTTTTTAATTTACCACATGGGATTGTCCGGAAGAGGAGGGGCAGTATGCAATTATTCTTCCGGGAGGACAAAACTGCCCCTCTCTCCTTCTCTGTTTAAAAAAGTTTTATCTTGTCTTATCCTGTTCCGTACCTACTGTACCCATCCCTTCTTTATCCAGACTCAGATTCTCATTTTTATTTTTAACTATTAATTAATAATTAATATTATTTATCACCGCCCTCGTATTTGCTCCATTTTATTCAACTTTGATATTTTTAGTGATTAATTTGAATATTTATTATTTCTTAAAAGTAAAATTAAATAAAATATCAAATAATATAAACAATAATTAATAAAATATAAAATTTATGCACTATTATATAAAAGTGAAACTCACTCTAAAATTTCCATAATGTAAGGAAAAATATATCTAATTTGTAAAAAATAACACTTTTGTTGGGTACATGAATATTCTTATCATAGGCATGTTGGATACACGGTTAGACATTAAACATGATCCCCACCTTTTAACTGGAAAACAAACCTTGACTATAATTTGTAAGAAATTATCCGCTTTCATTGAACGTTAGCTGTGAAAATAATATGATGAAAAAAAAAAAAGTATGCAAAAATGGATTCCCTGTTTGGATTTGGCGTTTTGTTTTGACAAGTGTTCTTTGTGATGACACAGATGGAACACCACTACAATGATGGTGTCATGTCGTGATGATACAAATGCGGATGCGCGCGTGAGCGCACATGTATATGTATATTAGATGATCAGTTGGTCTATCAAGTTCAAATCATTCAAGGTTGCATGGATCCCACCATCAACATCAAAATCGAAATAATTCGATCGAGTAGTCTCAGCTATTACTAATTATTTGGTTAGACTTAGCTTTCAGACTTTTAACCGCTCCTAATAATTACATTCATGGTTGATTAGCTGATAAACCACGGCCCCTGGTTTATTATCATAAATTAAAATACAATCATAATTGTTCCTTTAAAAGAGTTTAACGTTCTTCTCTGATCACAACCTCATAATTAGCTTCCAATGTACATATCATAAATTTTCCTTCAACCAGGGGCAAAATCAAGATTTGGTTAGTGGTTACCAGAGTCAAAATTTAAAACCATGTACAGTATATTATAAAATTTGCATAAATTATGGAGAATCAAGAATATATAATACCTATATATCATACCCAAAAAAAAAAAAAACACTTAAGACTCCGTTTGGAGTTTACAAAAATAGAAAAAAAAAAACTCAGTTTGGATAAACAAAAACATTTTCATGGTTTTTAAAACTAGCTGACTTTGTAAATATGTAATTTTACCAAAAGCTCATTATCTGAAAGCCGAAGATTAAAACAAAATATAAATCTGACAGTCTAGCTAAAAAATAATAATAATAATAATAACCTAGTTAACATTTGAGTTCGTAATAGTACATTTAACCATGAACTCCCGTGCATTTATTCTTTACCTTTCATATCCCTCATAGCATTAAGCCATTACTTTTGTATTTAATCTGTTTGAAAACTGTGGAACTAAAGATTATTACGAATGCTATACAGGCAACAGGAAAAGGAACAGAAGTCTATACAGACATACCTATATTACATGCAAGATTATAGATAAGCCCTCCAGAAACTCTCTATTACAATTTACAGAATGCACTAAAGGACATATACAACGACAAATCCAATAGCGAACCAGAAAAGCTAACACTCAGCATCATGCAAGCCACAAACAGGAGACTAAATTATGATTTTACTAGAGGGAAGGGGCGCATGGAATGTCACCAACAAAAAATAAGAAAAATGTGGATCAAAAACAAAAATGATGCTTCTTGTCGGTCACAGCATATGTTGTTGCAATCTTTCTTGTCTTGTTCTCAAAAGTTCATGCTTGTGGGGAATCAGAACCAGCAGCTGCAAATTGAGAGTGTAAATTTTTTTCCTCCCCGAACTGTACAACTATTCTGCTGTATCTATCACGAATTTAAGGGAATGGATTACTTTTGCATTTGGACCAAAAAAGGGATTAGTTTTGCAGGTACAGATCCACAATAGTGCAATAGAACCTCCAAAAAAAAAAAACATGCAACTGCAGGGACCTAAATAATTATGCTATATCATTTTCACAGCTAGATAAAATAGATCCAGAAAATCATTAGATAGAACAAATCAATCGACAACATGGTGCTTCAGAACAAAAGTTTCAATAGAATGACAATCTATTTACCTGGATAAATTAACCATACGATCGAATGGGTTTTTTAGAGTCTCCACTCAGTTTTCTTCTCACAAGCTCCAGAATCTCAATAACCTGCAAAAACAATGGACAGAGCACAAACCAAGGAATGGATATTTAGAGAAATGAGTGTTAAGAATCAAAACTCTAAACTATAAACCAGCAATCTCACTTGTCAAAGTTAAATGACCCAAAAAATAAAAAATTTGGAAATGTCAACTTTCTCAAATTGTCCTTTGTTTTCAATTCCTCTCAATTTAGTAGCGCTCTTACTCATCGTCAACAACTTGGTCTCTGAAAATGGATAATTAATGAGATATGGGTGTGCTCAAAATCAAAATCTCTAAAATCAGCATCTCAAATTTAATCTAAATGACCAAGAACACTGTGAGAGATGTAAACTTTCTCAGTGTGTCACTCTCAATTACTTTCAATTTACTCCTAATTCTTCAACAATTTGGTCTCCTTACATTGACTCAAACCATCTCTCTTTGCCAAAATGCTGAAATAGATTAATCAAATATACGTGTTTGTAGGTGGATGATCTAGCAAAAGAGGCCATGATAGTAATTTGACAAAGGACACATGATTTTGGGTTGATGGATGAATATGGTGAAGAATGAATATGTAAAATGTTTAACTATTATTTTGGGGGGGGGGGGTGTTAAAATCCAGGAACCACACATTGAATTTTTTTTTTTTTAAGGGCTCAAATGTTGCTTGGTCTTCAAAATTTGACGTTTTTTTCAGAAAAATCAATAGCAAAACTTGTATCATCACCTAATCAACATGACATGGCAGGCACTGACAAGCATTTTGTGCTAGAAGTCAGGTGAAGACCAAGAAATGCTGATATCATAAACAATGTCACAGAGCAGCCTCAGGGCCTCAAATAAAGTTAAGAATAATCAAAAGAATGGAGATTTGTTTTGTTAATATGAGGAACTGAGTCTATCAGCGAGTATAGGGGTTTTGTGACGCATGCAAAAAGAATAAAGAAATGCTCATTTCATTTCATCCCCTTACCTCCCTTTGCTTCTTTTACCCTTGCTAGAAGTTGCAGAGCTTGACAAAACTAGCAGACTAAGCCAGAGATGTTTCATTGCAGCCAAATTGGCTTACTGAATGAGTAAAGTTTAGATGCCTAACATTTTAATGCTAGATAAACAAATTCATCAATACAAAATCTCCCTATTACTGAAAAATGACTTATAAGAACATATGTAATATTTTAGTGGCCTGATAGGAGCATATATGATCTTATGAACTATAGGTGACCATTATCTATATATCCAACATGTTCATACAATTAATGTTTATCACAGATCGATGTTGAATGTGATCAGCATAAGAGTCCTATGATTACGGTATCTTCAAACTATGTTAATGTAAAATGAGTGACTATAGAAGAAAAACATAAACACTAACAATTAACGTATGGCATGATAAAAGAACAGATACTTACCCCAGGGTAATGACGCAGTATGGGTGAATAATGATCAAGTGCAATGTATATCTTTTCAAGGAGGTTCACAAGAGCATCCACCTCATCCCCCAATAGATCAACCTGAAATTCCCGTATAATATTTAATATAAGCACTGAAGGTCAGGAGTGATAAAAAGGAAAGAACAGGGGAGGAAAGAAAAGGAGAGCAAGATGAGACTCATTCAAGGGTCTTTAAGTTCACAAGCAGTAACTGAAACATCAGAAGGCATGTGGCGATCAATGCAGTGAAAACAACCAAAAAGGGTGTAAAGCAGTCAATAAACAAGGCTGCTAACAAGGAAGTTTTGTGGAAACTACACAGGAACTGCAATTTTGAAACCAAGGCCAAGAGATGAGACACCTGCTGGTGGGGAAAATGTCACTTTGAGACCAAATATTTAAGCAAGTAACAATGGGGTTTGTCACAAAAGTTACTCGAAAAATAAGGAATAATGAAGCATTTCAGAAGTTGTGGGTTCTAGCACTCTTACTCAAGCAAGACTTGGTCTTGGGGGGAAATTGGCAATGCTAGAAAGATTAGCTCCAAGCCGAGTATAATGGAAGATGGAGAATGTCTTCTTCAAACAGACAACATGCTTTAGTAGATGCTATTTAATAGTAACCTAAAATTAGTTTTTTATTAAATAGGGTTAAAGTGCATTTTTGCTTTGGAAAATTTCTTGGAGGAGCTATGAGTACCTACGGAAAATTGTGGGGCAATGTAGCACATGATCTTTCAAAATAAGATGCAATGTTGCCCTTTTTTAACAATCAACATTGAGTCAACTATCAGTGCAGGTTCAGAGACATTTTTTTACAAAACACTGACTTAATGTTGACCATTAGAAAAGGGCAACATTGTACCAGTTTTGAAAGATTATGTACATCATTACTCTACAATTTTCTTTAGGGTGTCCATAGCTCCTCCAAAAATGCTTATGGGGCAAAAATACACTTTCACCCTATTAATTACTTATTTGCCCTATAAGGCATTAACTTGTTGGGTTTTCTATTGCCTTATCTTTTTTTTCTTTTTTTTGGTAAAATGTGGGGCCTTATTAGCTTATCTTTTTGTTACAATAGGGGAATCATATTTAAATTTTTATCTATTTGTTAGGTTTAGGCCTTTGTTATTGCCATTTCCTGACCTAGAATTTTGGTCAAGATAAGCTAGTTTTAATTTAAAATACCTATTAGGTTGCAACGCAGCACTGGAACCTCAATTTGTACTCCAACCATTTTGCTCTCAAAAGGAATCAGGGCATAAGATTTCTGAATTTCTTCAACCATTTTATAATCAAATTCAAGAAAATTGACATGTATTGCACCAAAGATTCATGGATTGTGGGATTTTTTTAGTAACAACTGAATTTATTCATAACTATGAAAAAACTATTACAAAATACACAAAGAAGAACAATCAATCATCATTCACCTCCTTCTAAAAAAAAGGTGGGGGATGATCAAAGACACAAGAAGAATTCTTACAAACATGAGCTTCCCCAGCAGATTATGAGATTTAAGATCAATTAAATTCACACATGCGCACACACCAAAAAAAAAAAAAAGATGATGAAATATCTCTGATTGTGTAAAAAGTTTGATGTTTCAGATCATATACCTCTGCTTCAGCTTTTTCAAGGTCGGAGCATCGTATTTCCAGCCTCTGTTTGTACAGCAGCCCTGTGGTTTTAAGTATATTAACTTTGTCGTTAAGGAAACAGAACTCAGAATTCACGTTCTCAATCCTGACAATAAAATTTTATGCATGAATTAGTCCAGGCTGTGATCTTTAGAAGAACTCCTGATTGAGTTCATAAAAAAGCAGAAAGAAAACTACTTGTAACGCGTGCTAGAGGCAAGCAGAGCATAAAACGGAAAAAGGCAAGATCAATTTGGCACATGAAAAATTTCAATGTGCAACGTAAAATCAATTGATATTCAGACACGATGACCTTGTGATATATTCAAAAAAAAATAAAATTGAAGAGTCATAGAGTCAATAATGGCTCCAATCAATTAATTTTCATTGCACAAAGAATAAAACATTCAAACAAGAAATATCATTATAAACAGGAAAAAAATCCCAATTTGCAAGACATGATATCCTTTGGGAAGCCAATAAGTCCATGCCAATCAAAATTGTTGATAAATTTCTAGAAGACAAAATTACAGATGACATGAGAACCATACAAAGAGTAGTTAATAACAAAATCATTTCGCATTATACTAAAGAAGGGTCTTAACACAATCATTAAGTACCTCAAACTATTTCTTGAGATGTCTTCATTCACTCTAGATTCAAAATTAGCAAACGCTGTCAATAAAAGAGAAATTGCTGATTCCATTTGCTTCCTGGTCTCCCTTTCTTTATCAGCAGTTAGCGCTAATATATGCTGTTGCTCTTTTGAAAGAGCACAAAGCTGCCTTCTTTCTCCATCAATTTCTCTAAGTTCATTAGTTCTTTGTTCCAGCTTTTGATCTAACTCAAGCATTTGATCCTGATATTGCCTAACTTTCTCCCATACTTCGACCAGTTCAGCCTTAGTGACTTCCAACTCTTTATTGCTCTTCAAAATTACATTCTGTTGGTCAACTGTTTTTGCCCTCAAACTGTTTAGCTCTTCTACATCTAACTCCAATTTTTCCTTCTCACATGTCAAGGCATCTGCTGCTTCCTGTGCTAACTTAGTCTTTTCCTCCAATTTTTGGGTTTCTTTGTTAGCATCCAATAGAGCTTCTTTAAATATTAAATCCAACAGCCCTTGCATGATAATAGACTCCATATCTGCATCCTCAAATTCCAATCTGCTAGAAGGTTGAGCATCATGAGCGGCTTCTTTAAGTACAACTAGAAACACTTCTTCCATAACGGTTTCCTTGAGATGTGATTCTTCATCAATGCATCTAATTTCACTCATAATCTCTTCAAGAACACATTTATATACAGCTTGAATAACAGCAACTTCAGCATGTGCATCTCCTATATCACCCTCAAGCTTATCAACAGTATGCTTCAAATTCTTTTGAGTCAATTTTTCTTGAGACAATTTCTCCACAGCATCTGAAAGTTGTGATGAAAGATAACTAATTTCCTTTTTATTATCCGCAAGCATGTCCCTCAGTTGGTGATTCCCAGTATTTAGAAACTCCAGCCTCTCCTTTAAACTATTAACAGACTCAATGTTTTCACTCAACAGGTGCAGTTTCTCGTTTCCAACAAAAACTGTATCCAATTTTGTAATGAAATCAGAAATTTTTTTCCTCAACATTTCCAACTCCTTATCCTTCTTCAATGGTGACGAACAACCTCTTTCTTTATAAAGTTCCCCCTTAAGACGGATATTCTCTTCAGTAATCTTTTGGAGTTCGGATTCATGGTTTCTTTTCATCTCACTTATCTTGGAATCATAATGATTTATCAAGTCATCTTTAGACATGAGCTTTGGCAAAGCAGAATCTGAATTGTCAGGCTTGTTTGAGTTCCCACGTTTCCCATTTCCATCTCCAATGGAAGGCGATAGTTGATTAGTTGACAGCTTCCTGTGGAAATGGCCACCCATCTTATGATCACAATATTCCTCACCATTCTCTAGGGCTCCATGAGAAAGAAGCAGCCCAGTTTCCAAGACAGATAGTGTTTTGGAAATTACCTCCAATTCCTGACGCAGACTTGAGATCTCTTTAAGTTTGTGAAACCAATTTCCACTTTCCGAGTTACAAATTTGAGCATTTTGGTCCCATAATTTCTGTTCAAACTCTTCCTGCAAACCCCTGATACAATTGTTGATCACCATTTCTTCAATTTCTGACCGGAACTCCTGGTCCTGCTGCCACTCAGAAAGTGATGCCTTTGATGACTGAGTTATTACTTCTATCTTTCGGTAGAAGGTTTCAAGAGTACTGGTTAGATTTTCAATGGTTTTATCAACATAAATCCATCTTTCTGGAACCCCCTCATGCAGAATACCACCTAATCCTACTAACTGAGAGCCTGAGCTATTTCTTCTAAAGGAATTATTCCCTCCAATTTTATCATTTTCCTTCTTTAATTCCTTCAAAAGCTCATTAACTACGAGTTGAATGCTTTCAACAGACTCTAGCAGTCCACCGTGACTTACAATAGGATCAGATAAGTGATGATTATTAGTTTCATCCAGACCTGCATGATAACTATGTAGTTCTTCCTTTAGCCCAGCCAACTCCATTTCTTTCTGGCAAATTTTCTCAGCTGCCTCTTGCTCAACTGCATTAATCGTGCATTTTATAACGCAGTCGCTCACCATCCTAGAGATGGTCAGCCGTTCGTTGATGTCTACCATTAAGGACTCCATTTCCTCAACTATACAATCACCCAGACTCTTATTTCCCTCACCGTTATCACTAGTCTGCTCAATGACCTTCATCCCAGTTAAGACCTCCATTTTCTGCTGCTCCTTAGTATATGAGCATCGGTATCAAAAGTTTGGGGCCCTTCAAAGTATAAGGTGAAACTCAATAAGCTGCCAAAATAAGAAACACAAATATGTTTCATTTACTTCCCAAAAAAGCTAGACGAGGAAATAGAATTGTATTGTCAAATCAGCACATGATTCATTAACAATATTATGTGACTCAAAAGTATCAACAAACGATTGGAAGGAAATTATCTATTTGACTGCAGTGTTCGCTTCCAAGATCAGTTTGAAAAACGAATTTCAGTTTCAAAACTGTTATCTGATACCTGTGCTTCCATACATTTTGGCAACAAAAATGACCAGAGAGCTGAAAAGCAAGATGAACTGGAAATCAAGCTTCAATGAGAATCTACGCTGCTTAGTTTCAGCTGGAATGCAGGTTTTAAGCTTCAGCTGAGTCAAACTCCAGGGCAAAGCCAATCTCGACTAGAGCAAAAACTTGAGTGTCTGAAACTACAAATACAAAATTTGGCTATCTGAAACGAAACGAAGACTTTTTAATAAACAAAGAGTGTAAAAGTGTTTGAAAATCCCAGATGACCGTTGAAATATATTTAAAAAGCTCTGTCAACGAAGGCCCTGCGAAATGGAGCACCGGTTAGGGTTTAACAGAAGAGGAAGTGTTTCAGGCCATAAACATAATTCATGAGAGCGGGAGAGAACGAGAGAAAATAGACCCCCCCGGTGTTCATCATATTTACGGAAAGGCCGTTCATTAGACAAAATAGTAATAAAAAAAAATAGTCAAAAAGTGGACAACATTCTCATTTTGTCTTTTAATTTTTGGCCGTCTATATATATTCAATTTGTTTGCATAATTCAGGTCAAAAAAGCATTGTTTGCATTAGGCGGTTACATCCTATTAACTATTAATAACAATTATTAATAATAACGTTGTATTTTGTTTGCTTCGCAAAGCAATATTATCCTTTATTCTTCAACTCAGATTCCATCCAAAGAAATTTTCTTGTTTTACTTGTTGTGGAAATTTTTGAGGCCATCGAAAAGAATCGTATTGATTCTTTTTATATATAATGAAGGTTTAAATCATGCAGATGAAAAAACGAATCAAGTAGTTGAATAAGCTACTTTGCCAATAACGTTCGGATCTAATTCAACTATCAAATAATTTGGGATGTTTTCTACAAAGAAAGATAAATTTTTTTTTTAAATTGTATTAGGAGGGTTTAAACTCTTAATAACTCGACCTCATCACCCTCGCCACTTGAACTATCATCAATTGACTAAAAAAGTATAGTAAATTATTTGATTTGATTATATTTTGGTTTAAAAATAAAATATATATTTATCTAGTTATGTATGCTTTATTCAAAATATAATTGAGAGCAGTTGTTAATTGGTGGGGGATTTGTTATAAAAGATGGGAAGACATTAACATTTATCAAAAAGTCGTTTGCTAGCTTTTTCCCCCCCCTCGAAATCACTATTTTGCCTTGTAATGTCCGATGTGGAATAAAATTGACTTTCTATGAAAACAACAACAATTAATAATGACGTGGGATTAGGGATAAAATGAGAAGAAAATGGGAGGATTTATAAAACAATCATGGTTATCACAGTGAGTGATGATTAGCATCTTCCTTTTGGACCTTTCTAATTATAATTATGAGCCATTGCATGGCAGCTAATAAATTCTTAAAATAATCGCCCTCTTTTTTCTTTTCTTTTTTCTTTTTTCATACGTAATACCCCACGTTCCTTTTTATTTTAAACAGATAAAACTATGCTCTAGAACTCATTCCTCTTCTGTTTATTTATTTTCATGATTTTTTCACGCTAAAATATGTGTCACCTGCATTAAGAAATTTCTTTGCTGATATGCATTTTGCTTTAGTTACTGAATAAATTAACTGAAGTGCCTTAATTTGGAAGCATTCCTGTTATTGGGGGAAAAAAAAATAAAGTCCACTCAAATGAGAACTCCCAAAAAAATTGATGAAAAATGTTACTGGATATTATGAGTAAAGTTCTTATATTACACATTTATTTATTTGCTTTGCTTTTGATAAGTTCCTTTCTTAAGTATTAAGCTATGTTCTGTGCCTTTTCCCCCCATATATAAAAAGCAACTAAAATTAAATAACAAAAATTTACAACAATAAAGTGTGTCAAGAGAACGCCAATGTCTTTTTGCAAGGTGTCTTCTTTAGTCCATTAACAAAAGAGACACGAGAAGATTCGATCAATCTAATTCCTGTGGCAGAATAGTGGCGATCGTGAATTTCAAACTGTTCATCTAAGGAAAGAAGTGCTTATCGACAGCACCAGGGGAATTGTGTCCCTCTATTAGCATCTTGCTTTTTGACTTTTTGAAATTACGATTCATTGCATTGCATGGCAGCTAATTAATAAATCCTTAAAATAATCGCCCTCTTTTTTATTATTATTATTATTATTATTATTATTATTATTATTATTATTATTATTCTTACCTCATTCTCTACATCCCTTTGAATTTGAATCTCATGAGTATCCTTAAAGTATATTCACTTAATAAGTCTGTCATGTGACAAGATAACAACAATTTCATTTAATCAAATAATTATCAATGATTTTATTTAAAAAATATTAAATTTTAATTTTTTAAAAAATAAATCATAAATAAAGAATGTTCTGATTGTGTTGATTGTTTTAAATTTTTTATGAAAAATATATATTGATACATTTTAAATATAAGGGACATTCATTAAGCAATTGTATTTAGAATACTCAAAATTCAATAGGTGACACTCATTAAGTAATTGCATTTAGAATACTCAAAATTCAAATCACCTTCCATTCACATTCTGTTTATTTATTTTCACCATAAAAGACTTGTCACTTTCATTAAGAAAATTTTTCGCTGACACACATTCTACTTAGTTGTTGAATAAGTTAACTGAAGTGCCTTAATTTGGAAGCATTCCTGTTATTCGGGGGGGGGGGGGGGGGGAAGAAAGTCCATTCAAATGAAAACTCACAAAAAACAATCGAGTAAAGATGTTCAGCTTTATGAGTAAAATTCTTATACCATACATTTATTTATTTATTTATTCTGCTTTTAATAAATTCGTTTCTTAATTATTAAGCTATGTTCTATGCCTTTGAGATGAAAACTAGTGTCCCGCCCGTATATCATCTAACTAGATTAATTTACGTGTGTCTTTAGAGTTGCTTTCTTGCAAGATAAACTATACCGTAGAACATCATTGTTGTTACATGTTATATTTAAAATCAACGTTACCGTGTTATTTAGTTTTTTTATTAAGTGTGATCTTTAATTGAGTTGCATTAATTTGCGACCAATTGAAGGATTGATAAATGTAGGACAAAATATGCAGGGCAAGATATCATGCAATTGAATTAGTTTATGTGTTTTTAAAGTTACTTTCTTGTAGGATAAATTATATTGTTGAGCATTGTTGTTGTTACATGCTATGTGTTATTTGGCTTTTATTTTTAAACAAAGTATGGTCTTTAGTTGGATTGCATTAATTTGCAACCAATTGAACAAATAATAAATGTGAATGACATATTTGTAATTAATTTTGGTGGAGAAGTACAAATCATGCTTAAGCAAAAGTTTGAGCAAATAATTAATGTAAGGTATAACACACAAAAAAATTATAATTTATTTTTAATATTCTCAAATATCTCCATAATACAACATTAGTCGTTCTTAAAGATGGCTTATTACTTATATTGTGGATCGGTATTTTCATGCCTTTTAAGTGTAAATTTATTTGCATTTGAGTAAACTAAGTAAATGTACAGAAAAAACTTACAATGGCTAATATCTTGTTTCATTAGTAAAATATCAAGTGAATTATTCAATGGTTTTGGACTATAATTATTTACTAAGATATTAGAAGAGCAAATAGCAACAAATAAAAAGATTGATATTATTCTGTAATTTAATTTTCTGAAAAATATAACTTTGCTCAATGCAAAAAAAAAAAATCATACTTAGTAAAAGCACTTATGCCGAATCTCATCTCCCATTAAATTAGTTAATCTTATCTTCAAACAAACTAGTATTATCTTTTTATATTTATCTTTAATTATTTAATAAGATGTTTAACTTAAAAATAATTTACTTATTAAAAGTCACTATTAAAAAAAATTACACCTTAAAATAATAAAAATACTTTATATTTTTTAACATCTAACTATACAAAAAATATTTTATATTTTTTAATAGAGGGAGTTAAAAAAAGTTTCAAAATCAAAATTTTTGTAAATTCAAAGCATTCATTAATTTCCCTTGGCAACAAAATTCATACTATATTTTTTAGTTAATACTTAATCATGTTCTATAAAATTGTAATTGTTTATTATTATTAAACTATTATGAGTTATGACTTATAAGTGACTAAAAAAATGTTTATTTGACATTCTTTCATCATTAAAATTAGCACCACAACTTTAAAGATGATGACAATAATAAAAAGAAATTGAGAAAATTGATGTATAAAAAAATATAAAACCAAACATAAAAACTCTATTGTTAAGAACTAGTTTTTTTAAAAAATAAAATATGATAACGTGGCTAATAAATAAATAAATAAAAAGTGCCTCATTATCTTTTTGATGATATGGATATTACAATATAATTTTTACCAACAAATCAATTTAATAGATTTTAGATGTAACATCCCAATTTAAATTTTAATAGTTAATTTGGGTTAATAGAAATTTAAAAAAAAATATTTAGAGGTAAGCAAATTAGTAGAAAATGATTATTAAATCTAATTTAGGATATAATTCTAAATTAAAAAAATTAAAAAAAATGTTAATTATTAATTAATTAAAAAATAATAAATAAATATTATTAAATTATTATTATTATTTTAAAAAGAAAGAAAAAGAAAAGGTATGGAAAAAAAAAGGGAAGAAGAAGTGAACTTTCGGTGCTTTCCCGGCAATGATTATGTTTATATAATAAAAAAGAAGAAGAAGAAGAAGAGAGAGGAAAGAGTAAATAAAAAAAATGTGAGACCCACAGTATTTTTTTTAAAAAACCCATCCCTCCTTCTTTGTTTCTTCATTTCTCCCTTTTTCATTTCTCTTCGTGCGCGAACAGAGGGGGCGACGGTGTGCAAGTTCGCCGGTGCTGGGTTTTAAGGTAAGAGTTTTTAATAAGATATTTAGGGTGTGATTTTAAGCTTTTTAAGACTAAGTAAGTGTTCTAAAATTTTTTCTTAGTCATCTTTCTTCTTTGGTTTCTGATTTTGTAGTGGTAAAAAATTTAAGATCTGGAAGAGGGATGAATTTATGTTGAATAAATATGGTTTTTGAGGTTGTTAGTAGTATAATAAATATTCTAAAGTATAAATTTATTGGTGATCTTTGAATTTGTGGCTTATGGATCAAATTCTAGACTAGATATGAAAATATATGTTGATTTATTGAGGTTTAGATGATTATTTAGGATGAGAAATGAATTATTATGGCTATAGGATTATGATTCTAAGCTAGAGACTCAATTTTTAATTTTTGAGTACTTTAGGTGCGAATTTATAAAATAAAAAGAAAATTTTGATAATAGAAATTAATTTAGAAGTTGATTTTTAGATTATTAATGTTTACTGATAATTAAAAGAGGAGTTAAAAATTTTACTTAATAGTATTAACTCTAGATTTGTATTAAGATTGAGATTAGAAATTA